AGTAGTAGTAGTAGTAGTAGTATAGCAGTAGTAGTAGTAGTAGTAGTAGTAGTAGTAGTAGTAGTAGTAGTCGTAGTAGTAATCGTAGTAGTAGTCGTAGTAGTAGTCGTCGTCGTAGTAGTCGTCGTCGTCGTCGTTACATTGTTGTTGTTGTTGTTGCACTGCGGAAGCCGAAGCTTCGGAAATCTTCCAAACCCTTTTCCAAGCCTTCGAAGCTTCATCAAAGCCTTTGAAACCCCTTGGGCCTTCTTCAAACTTTCAGAGCTTTTGAATTGAAGCCTCCCTTCAAGTCCCCTTTCAAGGTGAGTGCGCATTCTGGTACATGAGCAGTCGTTTGGAGGAAATCTCAGACCTCGAGCACTGGCAACATTTGCACCACTTTGACACAAGCACAGAAACAGAGTCAGAAGAAGATAGGGCAGCCGCAACAACAGAGGATACAGGTGGACATTGAATTTCATTGATTACATTGTTCAATTGAATGTGAAATGCATATGCCTATGACGGATCCTTGCACCAGCTGAGCAAGGATACCATCTGGCCACAACGATGTTGCACGGACTTTGACAGTTTGAGTCTCAAAGTCGTGCAACAATTGCAGAATTTGCATTTCTTTTTGTGGACATGGTATTAAATTTGCACCCGAACGAACTTTACTTTTGTAAAGGAAAACACGTTGAGTGGACTTTACTTATGCTGCTTAGACGAAGCAGTACTCAACCATTAGGAAAGAGCAGGCAGAGAAAGGGCAAAATCGAAATGGCACCGTTCTTTTCGAGGCGGCGTGCCAATTGTTTTTGCATGTGTACGTATACCTGTTTAGACATGTCTGCTTGTGTACAGTGATTCATTACATATTCCGCATAGCGCGCGGCGCTCATAACGTGTGAGCTACCAACAATGCCATCTCCGTGCGTTCGGTCAAATCTTTCTTGTTAATGTAAGAAGGTTTCGGTGGTAAGAGTTTGCATGGACATAGCGTGACAAACGTGGCATGAACTACATGCATTTCACTTGTTCGGTCACCTCCTCAAATGGTTTGAACCGATTGTTGGGCAGCCAAGGCAACAACGTTCAGTCAGAATTGTCCTCTGGATACGCACACTTTGCAAGACTGGCCGATCTGTCAGGGCCAAACCGAGACTTTTGGTCAGGTCGAACTTTTCCTCAGTGCGAAGAGGCTCTATGTCATGAGCTTTGAACCAGACAATCCAAGTAGCACGGAGTACTATCCAAAACTTTGTGTCACGAGTGCCAGTTGTGGCATGGCGTAAAGCATCCAATCACCATACAATGTCACGTTCCTGTACTCCAGTAACTGGCTCGGCCTGGCTCGGTCTTCCTGTGTTTCAGTCAACTTGGTTGGGCAAAAATGTGTTTTTTCGAGTTTTAAACCCAATGGAAGAGACAACTCACTGCACTGCAGCCCACGGGCCCATGGAAACATTGTTCGACTTTTGTCAACCACACAGCCGGACCTACAGCATTAAAGGCAGCGCAACATGGTCGAAATGCTCCCGCAATTGTACAGGTTCATTACCACAGACAAGTGAGCAAACACATCTTCCGTGCGGGTGACATGTGTCCATGCCATCCGCACTTAGTCCATCCCCCAAATAAGCACACCACACCGCTTAGGCTTTCGACGCCGTTTCCCACTTCCACAACTCCTTTTCCCTCGCAGCCCCTGGCGCAGCCCTGCCCGCCATGTCGGCCAGCAAACTGGAGAAAAAGATTTGGAACTTGGAAATCCGACTCCGCGAGGCCGGCGCCTGCAGGGCGCGTTTTTTCCCAGGTCCCAAATGCCCAGGCCGGCGTATTTTTCAAGGGGTCCATCAATGATCTCCAGCGCCCGTTGAACTGGCTATGTTGGGTACGGGCCGTTTGGGTGATATGTTTTCATAAGAGGCTTCGGGTGTTTGCCTTCTTGGCTCATACACAGTTACCTTTCTTTTTTTAGTCTTTATTTGTTGGATCTCCAGCCAGACGGATCAAAGGCTCGCTGACCTGGGTACCTTCCTTTCACAACTGCATAAAAGGGTGCCGGCAGCGGTGCCACAAAAAAACCGCAGCGGGGCCGGCATGGACAGCCAATAGATGAAATGGTCCATCATATGGCCAGATGACATGAATCACCAGGAATTACCAGGCTTTCCTTGTGCCAAACATGTTTGGCCCGGGGGATCCTATGGGATCAGCATGCCAGGCATGCAGTTTTGGTGTCCATCAGCAGAGGATCATTTTTTGGATGTTTTCCAAGGATGTTCTGCACCACCCATCAAGGCAACCCATCCAGCCGATTCGTGCCCACCACGCATCGCCAGGAGTTCCAGCAGGAACTGGAGGCGGTCTTCGCGAAGATCGATGACTTGGAGCGGCGCTTGGAGTCTCCGCAGCCGCTGGGAGTCTCCCCAGGCACGTTCGGCGCATCGGGAGACTGGTGGCCCACGTGCCTTTGGTCCGGTCGCTCTTCGCCCCCCGGACGAGGCCCAGTCGTCCCCCCCGGTCGTCCATCTTCCAGGACCCGCGGCGACGGTCCCAGGCGTCCCGGACGCGGCGATGTCGCCCAGTTGGGCGAACCCCGCGGCGGCGGGCGCCCCGGCGCCGGCGCCGCCCTCCAAGCGGCGCTCGCGGTTCTCGGTGCACGCCGTGGTGCCTGTGGAGGCCGAAACTGGACAGTGAGGGTGGTGATGTCCAAGGGGACAGGACAGGAGTATGATGACACTGCCAGTTGTATGACAAGCCTCTGAGAGAGGCAGGAGGATCGGACGATCTGCAGCTTTGCCCGCGTGTTGAGACCGGCGGAAGGTCAGAGGTGATTGGTCTAGGAACTACAAGGCCCTTTAACTGATTCCACTCGTTCATGGTGCTGTAATTGTCTCGGCCGGCCGAGACTTGCAAAACACAGGGAGTGGCTAAGACACGACTGCAAAAGAACTTGAATCAAGTAATCAAGTCTGAGACTTTAGAGGATTCATAACCCATTTTCGCGATGGCCCTGTTATATACATTCGCCGCTTGCGACCGCCCCGTCCCAACACGGCCGGCCCCCGGCACCCCGGTGCGAGAACGCACAGGGCGAGGGTGCTCGAGCAGATGTTGATGATGGACGGCCAGAACGGTGGATTCCACTGGAGCCGGTGGCCTTCCTGGAGTCGACCTGGAATCTGGTGCTGGTGTTGGGCTACACGGAGCCTTTTGGGCAGCAATGAGATGAGAAGGAAGGAAGTCGTTGGAACCATTGAGACTTGGGAGGACCTCGTGCGGCCTCGAACCGTGGACTTTCGTGGGTGGGGGGGGGGCGGACGTGCCGGTGGACAGGGGAAGATGTGACTCTTTGGAGGTAAAACAGTCAGTCGTAACTCTGAGGGCTACTTATTCCAAGGGCAGAAACCAGGGCAAATGGCGAAAGAATGGCTGAGCAGGATCCGCAGCTGGATGCCAGTTTGTTTGTGTTGGGATACGAGTGCAATGTGGCTTAGGCAACGATTGGGGCTCAACGTCACTATATCATTTTAGTCATTGACTTCAAGAGACTTAAGGAGATGGGTTAGACCTGCTTAGCGGCTGCACCGAAGCCGCCGGCACCGGGAAGCTTCGGCTTTGGGGATCGCGACGCTGCAGGTCGGGTTGGTTGGATGTACTGATCGCGGGATTGATGCTGGTGATCAGTGCTGGCCTGCAAATCACTTTCAGCATGATCTTGCTGACGGAGGCATCTGCGGCTGGTGGTTCCAGGTGGTTCGCTGCCGTCCAATGGGACGCGGAGGTGATCACTTGCACTCAAGTTCCCGGACACATCGGTTTGGGATTTCTTTGGAGTGACAAAATGCCCCATGTTTGGATTTCCTTTGATGATGGGATTCTTCATGATTAATCATTCATCGTATGTTCTTGCTGCTTGGTCGGCTTCGCTCCGTTCACGATCTTGTCCCCCTGGCTGCCCGAGGACTTCCTGGGTCAGCCCTTCACGTCTCAGATTGCAGCAGCCACCGCCTGGAGACAGAAGGTCCGATCCTCTCTGGAATGTTTGGTAGGCATGGTGAAATACGTCTTCATGTCATGACTCGGCCGCGAGTGAAAGGTGAGTGAGTTTGGAAGACCATGTGAGTGGTCCAGACCAAGCAAGCGGTGAAGTCCACTCCACTTCCCGGTAACCGTGATTTCAAAAAGGGTCGATCTAGGGGTTTGTGGCGGGTGGGTCTTGAGGGAGGCCACGGGCCCCATTTGGCCACGGGTGGTCAGAAGTCCAAGCGTCCCTTGGCTTTCAACAAGCACCTGTTTCATTCCATGTTCCTTTAATAACATAAATGTTTTTTGGGGGCATTGGGCCGGCGATCCGGATTACAGCAGGTTCCCCACAACACCTTTTCCGCTTTGCTTCACCAAAACGACCAAAGCTTCGCACAGGTGGCGCACGATTACAAGCACATGGACCTGGCTCAGACCAGCCTGGTGAGCCGGGTGTGCCACTTGGGATTGGTTTCGGAACTTTTTGGGAACTTCTGTTCACCGATCGTTGGGACCAAATGGCGCGCTCACTCTTTAAAGAGTGAGCCTGGGCAATTTTTTCAAGCACATCCAACTCAAAGAGTTTTGTTTCAAAGCCCGGCCCTGTCTATTTTGTCACCACAAGAAGGACTTTGTGGCCACAGGGGTGGCGAGGGGCTTGTGCTGCCATTTTTGGCTCTTAGGTAATCAGGCTGATGGCTTGATTATCTCCAATGACCAGGCGAGCTTGAACCTTGGAGAGGTCCTGGTCTGGTGGGAGACGGGGTTCGGGAGGTGAAGGGATGCGTTCTCTCCGCGAAGTGATGCGCTCCGGGCACCAGCATTCATGGAAATGTCCACAAACAACAGGTCTTAGCTACCTATACAAATCCCCAGATCTTTTTCTTTAGGGGTGCGCAACGATGATCTCTCGCGACCAAGTGCCTCCCAGTCCATGAGGATGGGTAGCTGCAGTGAATGGATAGCTGCGCATGACTCCAAGCCTTGGATCAATGCAGACAGACCTTCCCTTCACCGCCTTATTAAAGAGGGCCCTGAGTTGTTGGGCCCGCCCCCTTCCTCCCCGTCCACAAGCGCGGTGCGCACACGTGCGCGCGTGTGGGGATCGAGGATTGGGCAGATCAATGCCTACATGGGCTTCGATACTGGTGATTTTGAGCCAACGCGGCTTCGCCTAGGCGGTTGGTGGCGGTTCCGATGGGAGGGCCAAAATGGGAGGGCCCCAATTGGAGGTGAGGTGTTGAAGAGCGATGCTTGATGCTTGAATCAGGATACAGCTGTGAATCAGCAAAGTACATCCCCATAATTTGATGTGTGGTAGGTAAAGGCTTTTGACCCACATTGGTGTGCACTACACAGCAGGATTGGGATGTGCTCATGGCCAAGCAGGGTGGAAGTGGATTTCATTTGGTGTGTTGAGATTGTCGCCTGGCCTTTGATGTCCTTACGTCAATTTCTTTCCCATGCATGGCAGGTGTTTTGCTGTGCATGCTTTGCATTTTGCTGCGTCTTGGCACCAGGAATCACTGGTGGACGAACGGATGTTCTTCGTTGAACGGCGAGGAGGGGGGGAATCCGGTTGGCGCCAAGAACGGAAAACACGCCAAGTAGTTGAGGAAAGCACACTCCCAGATTCCCATGACTCGGATACTTTATAGATGCCTTCTATGAGTTTTTTTCGGGAATGCGATGAGAGCACACTCCCTGAAACAATCATGGTTACTTACGGATGGCCCCCCAAAAGGATTACTATTCTCCTCTACAAGCAGCTGGTTTTTCCACTTCCATTGTTATTTCAGGAGGTGTCAGTCTTTTTCCCTCTTTACAGGGATGTGCGGGTCCGCTGTGAGCCCAGGCCGGTGCTCATTTGGTTTTCTGCTCTTCGAATCTTTCTGGTGTCAAGCAGAATCCTGATCCGAAGCCCAAAATGGTTGGGTCGCACCACCCCACGAGGAGCCAGAATACATGCATTCCTTGGATTTCATCATTAGTATGTTAGTATATATGTACCTGGACCCTCCCGTCGGGGTGTCCAATGGACTACCCCACACTACCTATAGGCTGCCAGACAGGGCACCCTGACAGGAGGGTCCTGGTATGTTACCCTGTAGTAGGGTTGGTGTTTTGCCATTCCAGCTGTTTCCCGGTAGCGAGATTTGGAGACAGGGTCAGTCCCCCGGCGACCCAGGTGGTGCCTCTACCTTTGTAACGAGTTCCGCATGATGCTCGGGTGCACATGCAGGGTGTGCACATGGGGCCTGATGCGGTGGGATCTGGGGAAAAGGGAATGGAAGCAAAAGAAGTTAGACTGGTATGAGTTTGCATTGAGGGAAAAGGAATGAACTAGTGAACCCTCTCAAGACTTCTGCTTGAGTTCGGTGGTTTCATCACCAGCGGAGACGCCTTTGAAGCCACTTCTTGCCACCCGATTTCGCTTCCGACTTCGATGGAACCTGGAGGTCCACGGTCAGATTCCAACGGGGAGACTAGGTTGGAGCGGTCTCCCCACGCTCTTGGCTCGATCTCTTGGCGGCCCGGCCGCGCCAAAACCCGAGGATTTGCATCTCGCTGGAGGCGATGCTGCAAGTGCCGCGGGGTCGGCGCACGAAGGTGGAGCATGGGCGCTTCATCACCATGCGCCTCGGACCAAGCAGATGCGCATGGACGAAGCTGGATGGACGAAGTGGACGAAGTGGTGGAAATGAAATGAGAGACGAGGATGGCAGAGATGTGAGAGTTCGGAGATGCAGTGACAGCGAGCTGAGTCTGCCGAAGTGGAGCCTCTTCGAGGAATCCATGGCACAACAAAAGGATGTGATTGGTGAACTTTCATCGGTTGGACGGTTTTTTTCGTGTTTTCAAGGCCAGGTCACCAAGGAGTTTCTCCGATCGGGGCGGTTTGGAAGGGCATCATCGGATCGGTGATCCGTCCTCCGGTTTCCTTCGGTTTTCCTTCCAATGTCGGAACGGAAGGGCGTTGGGCCGCGGCCCGGGCGCGTCTCGATGTTCCGTGACCTCCAGTTTGGAACGAGCTCGGGAGGGTCTTCGGACCGCGAAGAGGTCTAAAACCATTCAACTTCCTCCGGCGGAGTCCAGAAAAAATCCCAACGGCGGTCTGGGCTTGTCATCGACCGGAGCTAGGTGGGGTGGCACTTCACCGACTTAACCAGGTTTTTGTGGAGCTTCGTCCACCAGAATCGGGAGCTTTTGAACTCTTGGGGCGGTGGTCTGGTGCTTTTGAACTTTTGGGGCGGTGGTCTGGTCACCGCATTGTTTTGCGCCATCGAGCGGCTCGGCTGCAGATCCTACCAGCGCTTCGCCATGTACTGCTTCATGCGCCTCACTCGGGCCACTATTGTTGGTTTGCTCCTCTATGCCGCTTGGGGAGTGGGGATGGGAGGGGTCAGGGTCGGGTCAGGAGAGTTGGAAACAGCTTGAAGGAAGGGTATGGTGGTGGACACTCATTGAGGTGTTGTAGGGCTAAATCCCCGGCCACAATCCTCAACTGGCACAGAACGTGTTCCTGACTGTTTTGAATCAAGCGATTCGCTATTGTAGCTATCTGGGGTCACTGTAGTGCAGCAAGGAAGATGGAGATGTTGATTTGGAGTTTGGGTTGCCATGTGTTTGGGCTTCATTACATGGTGGTTTCTCATGGAGGAGATGGAGATAGTTGGAGAGAACTGCATCAAAACCTGTGGGTCTCTCTTTCCCGTTGTCGTTCGTGGGGTGGCCGTGGGGGTGGCCGTACATCCTTCGGGTCCTTCCGCCGGTGGAAGGCTGGCATTGTGTGGCTGGCCAACACCACCTCGATTACGGACTTGATGCTCAATGCTGTCGCCTTGGGAGCGATCTTGGAGGCGATCTGGTGATTTCCCGTGGTTTCCGGGTGGAGGGTCTGCGATGACTGGCCCGGTCCGAAAGCTGCGAATGGCCCGGTCCGAAAAGGAGCCCATAATCAATTTTGAAGTCCTGGGTTGGTGGGTGGGTGGGTGGGTGGGGTTGGGTTAGGTTGGTTTCTTGGTTTGTTGGTTGGTTATGAGACATGTGACATGCATGAGGAAAATGCTTAGGAGGTCGCTGCCAACCCCCCAAACTCCTAGGGGTGGGCGATCCAGGCGTTGCCTTGCTTGCCAGAAGTGCTCCAAAGTCATCCAAAGCCCACACAGATGGTGAAGTTTGATTGCTACAGGTGGCTATTCGATCGTCCCGGATGGTCGATACCTTTGCTTTGAGACTTCATCCGTGGGTTTGTTGAACCACGGGACCAGCTCCCGGATGTTGCCAAACAACGATCGTCGGTTTGCAGCTGGCGATGTGCATCGATGCGCCAGGTGGATGAGATGTTCTTCGCAGCGCTGATGCCCAAGAAGATCCAGATCAAGATTCAGGAGTGTCTTCCAGAAACCATGTTCCCCGAAACCCGACGCTGCTGAAACTCTTCCCTCACATTCATCTGCACGATGGACAGGACCTCGAAGCCATTAAGATCACCTACAGCCAGCGGCGCAGCCAGGTGTGGGGGGACGGTCCACCGTGGCTGTTTCCGGGATCTCTGCCGACTTCGGAATGTGGCTGAGCTACCAACGGGGAGCAAAGCAAATCAATTTTGACACGCAGGTCGGGAGGGGAGGGCCGAAGAACCACCGAGGCTTCTCTGGTGGCTCTCGTGTTCGGATTGGATGGATCCTTTGGACCTGGCGTGCGGTTTGGAATCTGATCGAGTGAACCGACCTTTTGGACCGTTGGGACCTATACACGGCTACGCATCCTACGAGCTCTTAAAAACGCCCGTTTTGGCTCGTCGCCGCCACGCGGCGAGGGGGTCCGGCGGGGGGTGCGGTGCATCTGCAGGTGGAGTCGGTGCTGCTGGTGATCTTCATGACGGGTCTGATGATCTGGCCGTGGCAAGCGTTGGTGGAACCCTTGGGCGAAGCCATGAAGTTGGTGAAGACGGAGTACTGCGGATACAACCAGGTCGCATGGACAGATGCGACATGTGGGGAGGGGGGCTCAAGGAGGTTTTTGCTGTTTGGGGGAGTGGTGGAACGCTTCATACTTTTTACAAGCAATACGGGCTAATTAATACGGCAGTGAGCAGCCAGGATGTTCATCTGGCCTTTTCCACGCTTCGAGTGTGCAATTCATGGGCCCGAAGACTTGACACTCTTGCTTATTCCTGCTCTTTTCGCCTGAGATCCCGCCCAACCCCACCTGAGTCCCATGTCTTTCCAGAGCACCGGCGAGAGTTCGATCCCCGAACAGTGCCGGATGAAGCGTCATGGTTCTCGCGCCGCGGCGGGGAAACGCGAGGACTTTGTGGTGGGGCTGAATGAGAATCTAGGCGCCCCGCGCGTCGTGTCGGGCGTTCCTCTTCCTCCGCGAGTGAAAGGCCTTGTTGGTGGCCGAGTCGTGAAGGTTCATGGGATCGGGGGGGGGGTTGGTGAGACAGATGGAAGCTCCAGGGCCAGCTCAGACGACCAGAACTGCGCTCGTCCGACAGGGGTTCCGGTGGGCTTGCATACCTACTCCTTTGAAGAGGCCAGCAAGAACGTAAGTGGCCTGGCTTGAAGCTTTCGGTATCTTTGTTTTGATACTGCTAAGACCACACCCCAGAACAAATGTCCGGGTATTTATTGCAGTTTGGGGCTCAACTATCCTCCAAGATTCTGACACTCAGTTCATTGTCTCTCCAAACCATTTGTTGGGGACCAACCCGTCGTTGAACACCATGAGTGCGGTGGTCCTAACATCCCGCTCGCGACTTGGCCCACAGTGACTAGGGGCCACCCCGCCGCGCCAGGGTCTTCTTCACGTTTTTTTCACTACCCGGCAAGAAACACCCCTCTATGCAGGACAGCTTTCATTGGGGTCCACCCGGGTGTGAGGAACATGTTTGCCCAGGGCTGAGTATGCCTGAGGCCTCATCGAAAATTCCGTGAGCCAATACCTCATGCAGGCGGACACGTCCACCTCGGATCACATCAGGCGAGCAAAGGGAAGGAGAAACCGTCGAGTGAGCGACCGCCGCGTCGAATCCGCGACCAGACCCAACCCCAGAATCGACGACCATGGATCAGAGACCAGGTGTCGCAGATCAGCGACCAGGTTTCAGGGAATGAGCGGCCACGATATCGCGGATCAGCGACCAGTTGCATGCGTCCGGGAGGGTGAATGTATGTTTGCTATTGCATTTATGCTGGTCGGTGGTGATGGCGCTTGTGAGAACGTCTTTGTTTTAGTCTTTAGCTGTGCGGGTTGCAAAAGGCTTGCTGCATTGAAAAGGCTCCTTCCTTGTCTGAGTGCATCCTCAGATTGCTCCCATAAGGTATGCTACGTTTCCATGGCTCCTTTTCTAAATTTTGTCCTCGAAATCCCTCGGATGGCTCACCAAAGCACACCTGTGGAAAAGGCCTTTCCTTTTCGTAATTTTACATAATTTTACCTTGAGATGGCTCACAAAAGGTCTGCTAGGTTGGACTGGCTCCCCCTCTAACGCTTCCGTTGGATGGCTCCCAAGCAATTTCGTTGCATTCGGCATGGCTCCTTTCCTTCTCTAAACTCGAACCCTCAACAGCTACGTCTCCGAGTCACAACATGTGATCCGAACTGCCCTTGAGGGCCCTGCCCTTGAGGGCCTTCAACAACATTAAAAGAAAGGTGGAGCAGGCTCCTCCTTAATATCTCCAGAGTCCTTGCAATTTCTAAATGTTAACTTTAACCATCCTTTTAAAACACACTGATTGTAGTGTGCCTCGACCTTCCATCTGCGCCAAATTCCCCTGAGGGGACAAAAGAGCCGTGTACGAGCGGTTCAACTCAGCAGGCCTCTTATAATTAACAGAGAGTTTAACAGATGCATGGTGGTGGACTGTCATGTTGACACTCCGTCAACACGGGTTGGTGCCTGGTTAGATCGGTGGGTCGATACCGATGGTCCTGTCTCTTGATTTGTGTGTCCATCTATATCTCAATTTACCTGTCTGTCTAGCGGCCTATCTTTGGCACCAGACAAGCTGGGATGCAAGACATGCGGTCCAAGTTCGTGTCCGTTGGTGGCCCCGCTAACCTTGGTTTCTTTCTGGCTGTGCCGGGGCAGAAATTGAATTGGGACCTGTGGATGTGGGAGTGGCGCGACCGCAGTGGACAGCATCCAGTCTGAAGCCAGCGCGCCTGGTTTCCGATTCGGTTTGTCTCCGATTTGGGTTGGCTGTGGCTTGGGGAGATTCTGTTACTCCGGTCTCCGATTCGACCTTGTCGGTCTCCGATCCTGTTCTCTGATTTGACCGCCACCTTACGGGAAGCGTTGTTTGCCTTTTACTTTTGCCAACTCAACGGCTTTTGGAGTGTTTCAGGGCGGCTGCCAATGTCATTGAGAACCTACTTTGCTTTGTTTTTTCGCAACTTGCGCCGGGTTGGAACTAGAGACCTTCAAGGGCCCTGCTTGGGTTGTTTTGGGTTGTTGGGCGGCAAAATCGGACCAATAAGCTGGGTGGAGTTCACCTAGCTCCAAGAGATTAGCCCAAAAACTGCGCATCCGACCCTTGCCCCATCATCCCATCTGCCTTGCGAAGCCGACATCTCCAGAATTGCTCCAGGATCATTTCACATCCTGCTGTGTTGGAGCTGGTTGAAGCTCAATTGCCCCAAAGATGAGGACCTATATGGCCATACGGGATGGTCTATGCCATGCGGGGGGGCCACTTTCAAGATCCAATTACACTCCCCAAGTAGAAAGCGGTCCCTTGGATAACCATTTTCCTTTACAGTCTTTACAGGCACACAGCCGGGCTCCCCACAACCAGCCCCTTCACATATGTCGGTCGGTCCTGAGGTGGGTTATGACACTATCGATGTTCAATTAGAAAAGAGTCAGCAAGGAGGTTTTCAAGCAGACAGTCTTCATTTGATCGCAAGTCCATTGTCGTAAGATTCGTGAGGGAAACACAAAATGTGGACACCTGAAACCACTCATGAATCCAACAGCAAGATTGAAAGGCAAAGTTGAATCCAACTGGTAATGGACCGTTAGAGGATAACAACTTGTGTTCCACCTCAAATAACTTTCTTGAAGAACGGGAGCGGCGCAGGGCGTGGATCTTTTCGCCGAAGCGCCGAAGTACGAAGGTAGGCTCTCTCTCCCCAACTGTCCAATTCAATTGGGGAGGGTTTTATGAATCAAGAGTCGACATGAGCATTTTCTGAATACCAAACAGTCAGGTGAACTCACTCCAGCAAGACGCCCCCGGTTCAAGCCGTGCCTCCACGTCCCGTCTCCGGCGGCGAGAGGTTCGCCTTCTCGGCGCGCGACTTCGAGACGAAGCGCACGGAGACGGTGCTGGCCACGGCCACGAGCTTTTTGATGTGTGGGAATTTGGATAAGTGGTCACCGGGCCGAAGGTGATGCGGGCGGTGTTTTTGGGGCGGTGTTTTGGGGGGCGAGATTCTGGTGGAGTGAGATGGATGGTATGGATGAATGGATGGATGGCTGGATGGATGGACAGATGGATGGTGGTGATGGATTCATGGATTGGGATGGGTGGATGGTATGATGGGCTCTGGAGTGCTTGGCGACGTGGTTCCGGACCCCTGCATGCCTGGACCACCTTTTTTCTGGGAAGTGCTTGGTGCTCCTCAAACCTTTCAACACGCAAAGACCGTTTTTTTTCGTTTGGGAAACCCAGTCCCAAACAGTTCCTGCCGGGCCCGCAGACTGGGGGCCAGCTGGTACGGTGATCTCCGATTGGTCGAGCGAAGCGCTTGGGTCGACCTCGTTTCTCTTTCTTCGCTTCCCGATCGCCTCGGAAGTCGCGAAGCACTTCGGAAGCACCCTAAGCACCTTTAGGTGGGTGGCCCGTTCAGCTCAGGTACATCGATGGTGCGGAGAACCCCTTGAAGGAGCCCTCTTTCTGTGGATGACTTCCGGCGGTCGAAGTGATGCTCACGGCGCTCGTTGGGCGCGGTGGCATCCCATGCTGGTGGTGTTCGGGTTTGAGGTCAAAGAGCCATTTGAGCAGCTCCTAGACCCCGCCTTCACCCCGAACGAACCCCAAGGTTTTTTTTTGTGGTCTCACTCTCGATCGCACCAGTTCTCTGGCTATTGGTCCAGCGTCAGCGTCAACTGAGGACAGGGATTTTCCACCTGGTCCCATCCAATCGAATCCAACTGGTCCAAGAGCCGAACTCCCAAGGTTGAAGGACCCTATAGATCCCTATATAGACTATCCCAGTTGGGTACCCTAGGTGACAGGTCCTAGTTCAGGGTCACTGGATACTTCTCTTGGTCTTGCTTCAACTCCCTCTTGGTCTTGCACCGTTCACCTGGATCTCCACAGGAGACCTATGCACCCTTCTGGTGGTCCCTGGCCGCCGGCTTCGGCCTACCGGACAGCAGCAGCTGCGCCAACATGTCGAGCCCCTTGTCGAGCCGGTTCCGGCGAAGAGGAACCCCCCCCCCCGAGGTCGACGGCCGTTCGAACAGGTGGAACAGGCCGGTTCGATGAGCTGCGGGATCCACGTCGACGATGGGAGCTTCTGTTTCCCTTCGATGAGCTTCACCGAAGATCTCTGCTGCGTTTGGCCATCGATGCGGGGTCCGAAATCTCCAGGTTTCCGGTGTTCGCGGGGTCTGAACAGAACAGTGTAAACTGCAAACAATATGATAGTAAGAAACACATCCTCTGATCGCATTCTCATGATTTGGATCGATTGCCTTGGTAGTCCCAAAGCACCTCACAATCTCAGACCTTCGTCCCAAGCTTTGTTGGAAGTCGACAACAAGTCTACGATCGTCAGTCTACTCTCATGCTCTTGGGAGCTCTGAGGCTACTGCGAGTCGGACGAGGGTCAGCTCCTTCGACTGCTGTGTCCGGAGACCTGCTCCTGCGACAAGCCGCTGACCAGCCCCTGGTACAAGGCGGGGCGCGGAAGCGCTGCGGGGGTGCGCTACGTCGCCGGATCAAACCGACAGGGACCAGGTGGACCAGCTGGGTGGATTGGCATGCGGTTGCATGCAGCGTCAACACGGCTCTCACAAACAGTTTATACAACTCAACTTGTAAGCTCCAACAGCTGTGGATTTGATCTCCTACTTCCTTTTTGGAGGAGATTCTGAATGAAAAGCCACGTGGAGGTCATATTTGGCTCCATTCCTGGCTTTTGCCGGAGCCCTCTTAGCTTGTTCCACCCAAATCTGATCTCATCACCTCTGCTCGAAGATGGGTTTCATCCTGTTTCATCCTCCAACAAACAAACCTCGTTCCCCTTCTCTCTTGCTCCTCCTCCAACCCCCCCAACTGCCAAACTGACTCCCCCAACCCCGTCCGTTTCTGCCGCTAACGCCGGGCGGCCCGAGGTGGCGAACCAGGGCTGCCCCTTGAAGTGCGAGCCTCCCCGCGAGGAGGCCGTGAAGGCGTTGCCCTGCCAGGATGCCAGCGATGCGATCGACTGGGTGGCTGGGACGGGCGAAGTGGAGGGCGAAGAGGGCGAAGGGGGTCGGCTGGCGCTTGGAGCTCGGAGGCGTTTTGGGAGGTACAGAGCTCGCACTCTCACGAGAGTTGTTGTCTTGGTTTTTGCTTTCTGTGCTTGTGGTCCTTTGTTGTAGTTGTCACCGTTGTTTGTTTTTCGTGTGGGTGGTTGTGGTTGAGACGGTTGTCACATGGACTACAGTATGGTTTGGGTCAGCCTCCCCTGGTTTGGTTCAGAATGGAACGAGGAACGGAGCCCAGCTGCGAGCTCGTAAGCTCATGAACGAAACCAGAGAAAGTCTCAGAAGCGAAACCTGGCGACTTTTGCAGACTGTCTCACCTGATCGGTTGACTGGATGAAAAGATCATCAACGATCTCACGATGTCATGGCTTTTTGGAGCTTGCGCGGGTCGGAGTCCGAGCTGCCGCGCCGATTCGGTGTCTTGTCTCTCGGCCGTCAGCCGGGTCCGGGTCGAGGTGGGCTTCTGGGAAGATTACCCCGGCATCATGGCCTCCTACTTGACCCTGGAGGATGCCTCGAGCGATCCCAACGTGACGAAGATCGTGAACATGATGGTGCAGAACAACAGCTGTGCGCTGCTCTCGGAGCTAGGCCCACACACAATCGTGCATCGGCGGCGGGCCAGGGCCTTCTTTGGAGAGCTGGAAGCTCTGTTCTGGTGCTATTATAGTCTTTGCCTAGGGTCCTAGATCCCTGCGGCTGGGTCCCGTCACGCAAAAAAAACCCGAACCTGATCACGTCACCAGGCGCCGCAGGGGTTTCACTGCGGCGTGTTTGGAGGGCCAGTTGATCCAGTGAATCTGAGTGACTCTGTAAACGCATTTTTTGGGTCTATGCACTATGCACGCTCAGGAGACGCGCTGAGGCGTATCCGCTTTTGGGTGTGTAAACTTTTGCACGCTTCTTTTTAGAGGGCTTACGGGGCCCGAATCACCTGGGTGGCGCAAGAACACGGGGAAACAATGGGTCCCTCTTCTATTGTGTTGGGGGCGTGCTGGTGCCATCTTGCGCCTACAGGTTGCGTTTGTCCAAAAGCTTCGAATGAATTTCACTCCAGCCTTGCCGGCGCTTGCGCCTGTCCTTTGGCGCCAGGCTTTGAGCCGCTCACCTCGGGCGACTGGCGCCTGGGCGATGGGTCTGGGTCACCGCCACCGCCGTCGTCAACGGGTCGGTCTCCTGTTGACCCCACAGCCATGTGTAGAGTGGGACCATTAGATGAAAAGTATTACCTATAGAACTTGAGTGACCCCTGGACCATACACCACCTAAAACATGGCCTTTGTCCGATCAAAACCGGTAATTATATTGACTCGCGATGACCTCAAGGATGGCCACTGAAGGGTTACACCCGGTCACCCACACGGGAAGAAGCAACAAGAGAGAGCACAGACTACTACCGTGCCAGTGTGGCGAAATTGCAGGTTCCCTGGCGTTTTGCGATGGGCGTTTTGCGATGGGCGTTTTTGTGGTGCATTTTTTGGGGCCAAGTTGGTTTCTTCTTGCTCAGTGCATGAGATGGTCAAGATGTTGCAGCTGGATACCGGAAGATCTCGTGTCCTGTTTCAGGTCCCGATTCAGCAAATTAAGAACAGTGGTACGGTCTGCCACCAAGACTCAAACCCAAAAGGCGCTGCTGTGCGTTCCCCAGGACTCCGACTCACGATTCGAGGCGTCCTTCGAACGAGTTCGCGGCGCCACCTTAAGCGGAGTGGATGACAATCTGGCGCCAGACAGTCTGGAGTCTGTGGTTCCTTTCGGGGTTGGCTCCGGCGGTTTTTTTGGGGCCCGAACCCCCCGAACAAACCCCATATCACCCCGCCGAGCGGCGATTTCGGCGCACGACTTCCCGCGGCGCTGGGCCCAGGTGCACTGGGAAGGATTTACTTTGGGCACCCTTGGCCCATATTTGTCCCGTAGCCTGTGGCTGTGCTGAGGAGGCTGGGTGGGCTGAATCGCTCCGACGACGAGGGACCGGCGTAAGGACGAGGACACGGTGAGACCATCCAGACGCTGCATCGCATTGGCCTCGTGTCCATTGACCTGCTCGGTCGGAGGGGGACGTGAGTCTTGTTCATGCCCCACCTTGGATGTGAAAAAGGAATGTCCTAAACTTTGGTGGTGCGACTCTCTAAAGTCTTTTGGACTTCTAGGCCCCACAAAAGCCCCAGACGAGCAGGCTGCTGTTGAATCGAAAGCGACTGCCAGACAGCCATGTGGGAGAAGCCCAGCTATTGTCCTACAGCCTGCACCTGCCAGGATGCAAGCAAGGTAGGGTGGGGTAGATGGGTGAGGTTGGATGGGTGTTGGATCTGCTTGGACGGGTTGCGATGTTTCCGCATCTCTATTGCTTGTTCTTTTCTGAAAGGATGTTCCAATCCGATCCCAATTCATGATCTCTGCAAAACACGAGAGAGACCCCCAAAGCTTCGTCTGCGAGTCTGTCAGAAGCTCTGGGAGTCAGCCGGAGGGCATCCCCCAAAACGAACCACAGATCAAAAGGCACGTCATTTTCCATTGCAGTTTCCCTCAGATTTGGTGCTAGTGGCTTCGGGCTATTGACTCTCCAGGCTAGGCTTCTACTACCGGTGGCACCAGTCCGACACCGGTGGCACCATTCCGACCAGTCCCACCAGTCCGGTCTGACCGGCCGGTGCACGTGGTTCACTCTCACTGCCCCGACCAACGCCCCGACCGTGCTCGCCAGCTGGATGGCAACTTCCTGGGCCCGGAGCATGAGGACGACAACATCACCACCTGCGCCCAGGTCGTGTCCAAACGATGGGAGGGGGCGCTCCGAAGGTTTTCGGGTGGAGGAGTTGACAGTTGTGCCGTAGGTCCCTGAAAGGCACCTGAACTCACCTTGGCCATCATGGTGATGCTTCCGAAACCAGTGAGGAGAGGGAGGACAGTCTCTGGACGTATTTTGGGTCACGAAACCTGAAGCTTGGCCAACTCCATGTTACTCAGATTATTTGAGACCATTTGGGGTTCCTTCCGTCCTCCGGCTGCGACAAAAGGCCCTCCCTGCCAAGACCTTGACGGGACGGTCGAACCGAGCGAAAAGGCCCCCGTTTGTTGCAGGCGGCGCAGCTGGGCCTTTGCGCGGATCCGAATGTGTGGCCCAAGCTGCAGAGAACCCCCTCGGTCCAACGACCTTCTGAGTTCTGAGGATATGGCCAGGAGCTCTAGGGATGGATGATGTGCTTACCACCTTGTGGCGGTGTTTTTTTTTCCATTGGATCCGGCTTCTCGGAAATCCAATCCAACGAGTAGGTCGCAACCCTTCTGGCCCAGCCCGTGGAACTCAATGAAGCACTTGGGAGCGTTCCTTTTTTCGGAGCCGGTGGCTTTTTCACGCGGCTTTCTCGCCCTATAAAGGAACATTGGTTTCAGACCACTCTAAGGCGGTGGCTCGAAGATGGAAGACTGAGAGGTCAAGAGGGGAGTTCCTTTTTTCTTTGGATGCCTACTCCTACCCTGCCCGTCCAACGCTCCCATCTCACCATGGTTCAGGATGGGATGGTGGATGGGGTGTCCAATTTCTGCAGTGAGTGCCAGCCCGAGCCCGAGCGGTCGGATCTTCGCCCGAGGGAGCGCGCCTGCAGCTTGAGCTGTGATGCTTGCGACGGCCCCCCCCTAAAGAGGCCGGGATGGTCGCGTTCGGGGGATGGTCGGAGGATGTTCGCCAGTGAGAAGAGATGCGGTTCTTTGATCTTTTCTTCATGTCAAGGATCTTTGTAAAGGAGGGGCCATCCATGGCAATGTAGACTGATAGCTGCATCCGCTGTGGTTATGACCAGCTTTGCCACGAAGAACATCTGCCGAAACCTGGGACGTCTCAGCATCAAATGTGCAGCAAGCCCTCGAAGGTGTACAGAATGTGCAAGTGTTCCTCTTGCTGAGTTCAGGGAAGGATCAGTCGAAGGAGAGACGTAGAATAGGACAGAAACTATACCCAATGCAAGGTCAATGTATGGTCTGGGGATCCCCTTTGGGCGCAATGGAAGACTTCACCGCCGTGACGCACAAACGCACGAACAAAACACCGCGACGCCAGGAGTGCCACCACACAGGCTGGCTCGACTGGAGGCCCACGGGTTTCCCGCGCCGGCGGTTTCGGCGCCTCGGCTGAAGGCCTTGAAGTCCTGGATGTGTCAGGTTTATGCATTGTCGACGTTGATGCGTTCTAGGTGTCCTTCTAGAGTCTGGGACATCTGCCCTTGTGCGAAGTCCTCAATAGGGAGGGCTCCAAGCCGCACCGATCGGTGGGAATCCTCAAAAGACAGGCATGCCAGAGGTTTGATGTGGGGGTGGCTGCGGGCTTAGTAGTTCGAAAAGTGCCTGGAACATGACATCATGAGTATCGTTCGTGAGACCCCCTTTCTGGAACAGTACACTTCCAAGGCCTACTCGTGGTGTTCAAGTCTTGTTGATCTCAGGAGATCGGGTGTATAGAATGATGCACTAATAAAGCCCTCCTAGAGGTTCTACCATCCAAGTGTGTTCTTTTTATTCATCAACCATCCACATGAGGACCTCCTGCTGTTGATCCGATCGCAACATGGCACAGTCCGCGTGGCGGAGTTCCCGGAGGGAGCTCGCTGCTCCGCAGGTCAGCTGCCTTTTGAGTAGAAACAAGACACGTCAAAGAGTCAAAGGTTCTGAGTAACGCGGTATGTAACATGTCATGTTCCCCCCAAAGGGGGTGGGGCCCTGTACAAGACTCACTGTCTTTGGGTTCCAACTCTTTGGGTAACCCCCGCAGGTCTGTTAGAACCCCTCTTGGTAGACCGCATGATACATGTTCTCGGACCGCACCTCCTTCTCCAGCCAGCCATTCCAGCCATTGGTGTCCAGGGTGGAAAATAACAACCTGCACGGTTTTTGGACCAGCGAAGCTCCGAGAATCCACCTGGCCAGGACACGGCTAACGACTGAACGCGGCTGCCAAGCAGCAAGACGTGAGCCCGAGATTTGGGGTGGCTTGTGGCCTCAAAAATGCTCTACTCTATTTTTGTTCATGAAGTTCAGCTAGTTAGTGAAGGTCTGCGACGAAGAGCTTCTGAATCCCCCTGTCCAAAACTGGATGAACCAATTCTGAACCAATATGGGACGATGACCACGATGACCGCTGCGGGGCATTCTCGAATGACCGAACGCGACAAGCTGCCTGTTATCCCATTTGATGGATCGACCTGTCAATGCGAGACATTTCAGCGTTGGGATGGGTGAACACGTTCCGTGCTTCCCCAAAATCCTGATGCGCACATGTGGCTCTTCGCCGCGATCTGTGCCGATGTACTCGGTGTTTTCAGTTCTTTTTTTCAAAAGGGCCACCTGCTTTTTGGTGGCCTTCCCTGCTCTCGTTGGATGTCAGTGTGGGTGGCTGGACATCGCCATTGCGCACTGCCACCACTCCATTCCGGTCACCGTGAAGCGGTGCCGGAACGGGAGCTGGTGCCATTGGGGCGCCCCGTGCCAAAAGCGCGCGGTGTTCCGCGGTCCGGAGGACACCCGGGGGGAGCTTCGAAGTTCGATCTAACGTTGAGTCTTGATTTTACAATGCCCTCCGCATATGAACCAGGAGTCAGAAAGGGATGCCTATTGGAGGATAGGGGTGCACATAATCCACTCACTTGGGACAAAAAAAACAAACCCTTTGTGACTCCCGGAAGAGGTTTTACATCCTCCATATTCCATATTGGGAGGTTGGATTAATCAAGAGTCTACATGAGTTGAAATGGATTTCGTGGAGTTTGAGAATGTCGGGGTCCCATTTTTTGAAGACTATGCGACTATGCAGTGTCTTTGATCTGACCTCCTCCATTGAAGGAAGAAGGAAAGCATGTAGGTTTGCCCAGTCGAGCAAGATACAGCAGGAGGTGATGTAGTGAGAGGCGTGCGGTGCCACCATGAAAAGATCAAGGCATGGGACTCAAGTCACAAGTCACAAGCCGTTGCTTCACATGCATGAGAAGATGCTCCACAAATCCCTGCTTTTCCGAAAGCTCCCGCACGATCGAAATCCATCATGTATTTTTCCTCCATGAGCAGGATACGGGCCCGCGATTCGCGCAGCCACAAGCACGGCCCATGGCGAGCTCCGCGGTGTGCGAGCGCGAGTTGCTGTTTCAGAAGGCCGGGACACCGCAACGGGGGGCCGCGCGAACCGCGGGGGGTACTTTGTTGCTCAGTGGCAGGAGGGAAGCCGTGAGAAATCCGGTGAGGAAGCTCTCTGCCGCAGATCATAGCCCTAGAGGTCCCAAAACGAACTTTTGCCCCACTGAAGTAAAGGAAGCCCCTTGACTCGGGTCACCGTCCAAGACCATTCTTTGAATCGTCGACTGGACTCCCAGGGATAGTCCTGGGCACCCCCGAGTCGTGGTGTGGGTGGTCACGCTGCTTTAAAACCGTCAACGACGTGTCCCATGTGCTGTGCCGCTATGCGAGGAGCGCAACGTGACTTTCGTTCGGAAAAATGCACTTGGCTTCTCGCTTTCGTGTTTGCTGCGCATTCGTGTTCTATTTTCTTGCTGTCTTTTGTTCCTGCATTAGGAACCCACCAAGCTGTGCCTCAGTCTGTGACAGACCATTGCAAGGAAGGACGAGGAAAATTGTTTTTACACGAATTCACCGGTGCATGTTGCGTCAAGATCCCACTCAGGTGATCCCAAGTGCAGGTGTGCCTGCCATATCTGGGCGAAATTTGTGCCTTACAGTGGTGGTTCACGGATACCTGACCAACAAGAGCTGGGAGGCTTTTAGCACTCGAAGATGGCACATCCCCACATCCAACGGCTTCTTTTTCAGAAGGCTGAGGCCAACTGACAGGTTTGGGTCGCGTTTTCCTGTGCCCCACGCCTCGTCGGCAGGCTGAGCTGCAGCGCCAACAGCAGGCGCTGGAGCGGCAGCGGCTCCACGAGGCGGAGGCGGGTGGGGATCCAATGGGCCGAGGTCTTTGAAAAGCCTCAGTGAGGAGCTACAGGTGGGTCCAATGGGCCGAGGTACATAGACCGGAATGATGGGTTCTGCCCCAAAGGCACTGGTAGCAGTCATCTGCTGGAGTGGGGATGGAACAGTAGGGATTTTCCTTGTGGACATGGTTGACGTGGCCCAATACAATTCTTTAAGCATTCTTTCTGGCTCTACACATCATAGTCACGGCAGGGTGTTTTCTTCTGTGTCGCTCGACCGCGGCGTCCTCGCACTCGAGCCGCGGGGTCGTTTGTGACACATCCTTCGTGCGCAAGGGTGATGGGAAGGGTATGCACTGTGTGCAAAACCATTGTGCGCAATAGTGATGTGAAAGGAATCACAAGGGCCGTGATTCTATGCCCATGCGCCCCGCCCCCAAATGTGTGCGTCGCAGATGATCCCTTTTGTGGGTGCCACAGATGATGCCTCCCCTGCGTGTCGCAGATTACCCCCTTTCCCTTTCCCATAATTACAGGCTTGCCAATCTGGGTGAATCGCCCGCTTGAGGTGGTCTTGAACTGGTGAGTTTTCCTCCCAACTCACTGAGTCATTGAAAGACACAGGAAGACTCCTTCCACACAGACGCTTCTGGACCCTCATCCAGCATCTGGGCCATGGGGAGGTCGTTTCGGCCGCTGTTTCTCTGGCCACAGGCACTTCCCCATGTCTTCTGCTTGTCTCTTTGGCGCGTCGCGTCCTCCGCCGTCCTCGGGTTTCGTCGTTCCAGGAGCTGCGGCAGGGCCGCGAGACGTTGAGGGCCCTGGCGGAGGAGGTGTCCCTGCGAGCAGCCGAGAGGCGGAGTCGGAGCGGAGCGCAACGGATGGCCCATTTCGCGGGCGCGGAGGGGGACGGGGTTTGGGGATGAACAAGGCTAGGACGAGGAGAGTGCCGGTCTTCTTCGACTCGTGGAACTTCTCGATCGGTTCGTGTCCTTTTTCGCTCCGTTCGCGGTAAAGGCCCAAATGCCCCGATGGTCGCTGCTTGTTTACTACCTGGGGTTCCAATTGACACTCGAATCTGCCACCCTCCGTCTTCCAGCGCCGGAAAAACAAGCTCCGGCACGCCCGGGGGGACGCCCCTCGCGGAAGCCCAACCCGCGCCCGAGCCCGAGCCCGTTCTGCGGATCGGGAAGCTCGCGGCCGCCAGGTTTCAAGAGGCCGGAGGGGGGGGTTCCCCGATTCTGTTGGGGGGAGGACCCGACGCAGGCCAGGGGGAGGAAACACGGTGTGGCCGCTTCAGGGGGAAAAGGTGCTTGGAAGTGACTGTGCTGGTCTTCTTTTTCTTCTTCTTCTTCTTCACGGGTGATGACAGGTGCTGACAGGTAAATAAGTTAGAGGCCACGTCTGGTCTCGGGCCTTGCTTCCCTTGCTTCACCCTCCGAGCGTTGCTGATCAGGAGGACCGTTTGCTGCAAGAGCTCAAGAGCAGCCGGCAAGAGATCCAACTGCTCTCCGCACAGTTAGTTGACACACAGGAGCAGATGGGCGGGCATGGGCTGGAAGAGGGACAGACAAGGCCAATTTTGATCTATTGTACTTCTTCCACAACACCTACACCAATTTGGCAACCGGAAACCCTTCCAGCAGAGGGCCTTCCTCTCATGGAAAGGCCTTCTGCCCATGATCCCATGATCCCCTCACCCCCTCGGACCGCCGCGCTGGCGCCCCGCGCCCCCGCAGGCGCTGCGCGCGGCCGCGCGGAGGCGCCGCGCCGAGGCCCAGGTGCTGCGGCTGCGACGGGAGGTGGAGGAGCTGAACGCCCAGGCGCGGGCGGAAGGGTTTGGGTGGGAGAGTGAGTTGGGAGTTGGATGATCCAATGGATGCGGTTTTTGGGAGGGTGCAAGAAGATGCATTTGGGCAGTGCTCCCGAAGGAGTGCTCAGGGTGCGGCCAGGGCGCTCCGGATCTCGCTCCAAAGATCTCGGCGTCCCATCTCCAATTCGATCCCAAAAAGAGGTCGACGTGCAGCTTTTTGCAGGAGCCCAAGTCTTAAGCTGGCACTTCTCCCGCCGTAAGGAACTTGGGCTGCTAAGTCTTATCATCATCCCCTTTGGACTCTGGACCACTCGAAAACGTAGCGCTTCGCTTTTTCTCAGGTGCTGGCGCAAGAGCGCCTGGCGCAGGTCTATGAGGAGATGACGGAAGGGGATGAGGGGGGAGGAGGTTGGGGTCTTATGGACCAAAATAAGGAAGCTTGAAAAGGCATGGAGGTCCAATATCTTTCAATCAAGAATGATGTCTCTTCAACTTTGGTCTTCTAGCTCTCCCTGGAAACGTAAAGGGGGTTACTACTCTGCGCGCTGCTGGGTTACCGCACAGCTGAGCAAGGCCACGCAGCCCCTCTTTACAGGGACCTGTTGTGGAACTGTCGGATGGGAGACAACTCCCGTTTCTTGGGGAAGGATCAGCGGCACGGGTGTACCAAAGGGCTGAAAGGAATGACCTTAGACAAGGAGACTGACTGCGCAAAAAAGGGGCGTATTGTCCCGTCAGTTATTGTTTCTTTTGCCGCTGAATTCAGCCAACGGCAAACATTTGATTCTGCGCAGATTCCCTTCCTTCCAAAAGATGCACCTCGTATCCCCGCAAATCGGGGGGTAGCAGGTTGCCTCAGACCCCTAAGCTCCGTGGTCTGCGAGATCCTGGGGGGAGCCAGGATTCCGTGGCCGAGCTACACCTGGAGCTTCAACATGCGCTCGACGAGGCTCCACGACCCAACCACCACGTGGTCCTTTCTTCGATTTTCTCGATTTTCGTGCATGTTTCATCATGTTTCCACGGCATGAGAAACAACCATGGCCACTGTGGTCGGGTTCCTGGGAGCCGCCAACGCCGGCGTCAGGCCCCGGCCGCGCGGCGGGCCGCGCCGGCAAGGGCCGCGAGTTCCGCTGGCCGGTCCTCAGTGGCGCTGTCGCGGCGGCTGAGCAGCCAGCTGGGTGTGATGAGGGGAGGGTGGAAGGGATTGAGGTGGTGAGCCTGGAAAGATCTGGTGTTTGACTTGTGTTGAAACAAGTCCTGCTATGTCCTGCTGACGTTTTTTGATTTTTTAGAACGGGCATCAGTTTGGAATGCTTGGACGGATGAGCCGACTGGGATTCTTGGGATTCACGCTTCGAGATGAGATCCACTGGTATCTTTGGCGGCGCCGGCATTTGAAGTGTGGGGAATGGCTGGGAATGGCTGGCCCGGCGCACAGCTTCCCCTGAAAATGCTTTGTGTCCAAAGGAGGAGACCAGAATCCCAGCTATTATGCGTACGGAAAACTAGAAGAGAGAGAGAGAGAGAAGCAACCCACCAAACTTTGGGGTTACCTCCGTGCAGAGACACATGGCGCTTCTCCCTTGTTTATGGCGCCTGTTGGTTGGCACAAAGTGGCCGCTTTAAGGCTGGCGCAGGTGCCTGGAATTTCTGGGTCACCAGACCCACGAATCGGGCGTGCAGAGCGCGGTGACGACGACTCCGCGCGGAGTGACGACTGTGTCGCCCCCGCATCGGCCACGCGACCAAACGTGCGTGCGGACCGAGGGTTTTCAAGATGACCGAGGATTTTTACAGTTTCTTTTGGGATTCCAACACCATTGGCCATTGGTTTTGGCCAAAGAACCATTGTTTTACAAAGGGTTACAGACCACAAAACCAGGTCACCAGTTGCTTAGGGAGTTGCTTTTGGGAGTTGGTGCGCCCACTGCCGTCGGTTTTTTTCACTGTGAAACATGTGTGTGAGCCTTTTGAAGAAACTCGGCAGCCATGCTGGAAAGAAACTTCACCCTTGCCACAACAAAGGTGATCCGTTTCCCAAATCCAACCTGGTACATCCAGGTACCATCCTTTTTTGCTCACACGCGATGAACATCTTTTCCTCCGCTTGGTGCGGAAATCGCCGACCGCGTGTCTAAACATGCATTTGTTCCATTGGCAGCGGCTCCCGACCCCGTTCTTCCTGGCCATTCCGCGGCGTCGCGCGCGTTGCGCCATGCCGTCCAAGCGCCGCAACAACGGCCGCTCCAAGCATGGGCGTGGCCACACGGCCATCGTCCGATGCTCCAATTGCTGCCGCTGCGTGCCCAAGGAGCGGGAAGGATGCCGGGGATCTGCAACGGCAGAAGTGGGGCAGCCGAACCTCTGAAGTCCATTCAAGGTGTTCCCTTTCCTCCCCTCGTATTTTCTTCATACCCCAAATGAGCTGATCGAGAACGGAACGGAGGGGTGTGTGGGGCACTGCTACTTGGCCAGGAGTCCAAATACTACCATGGCAGGTCGACTGTTGATATTCCAGGTTAATCAACATTGTTTCACATCTTGGCAAGTCTTCATGATTTTTCCATGTGGTTTAGAGATGTTTAGAGTGGGCTTGCAAACATACTTCGTCACATCCTAGCAGGCTGATCAACGAAGGTGCGAAGGATGTGGTGGCGAAGTCTGCCAGACTGTGGGTGCAAGTCGTACGCGTTCCTTTTTTTTTACACTCTGCATACTGGGAATTTCTGAATCTGCAGTCTGGAGATGTCCAGAGTCTAGAGATGTCCTCTTCACTCCATCCATATCGGCACTGAAAAAGAGGGCTGTGAGGTCGTCTTCGACGTTGCCCCGCAAAGGTCGTGCACCGATCGGCACACAGGCGCAATGGATTGCTTCAAGGGACCCTCTCGTTGTTCAGGAAAAATGGTGTTTTTTCACCTCCAAAACGGTTGGTGTCCGGATTTTCGCGAAGATCGCGAAGAAGACACATGTCATTGGAAACAACTAGCGCCCCCCCGTATACGCATTTGGACCGATCTGCTCCGGTCCTTCCCTTGTTGTTCTCGCTCCGGTTTGTCTTCGACCTTCGACCTTCGCGGTGGTCCACCGCCCTCGAACCATGGTCGGCTGGTTCGGTGACGCGACCGGTCGGTCGACGCGGGCGGTCGGTCGACGCGGGCGGACGGTCGAAGAGGACAAGGCCATCAAGCGATTCCAGGTGCGAAACATGGTGGACGCCTCGTCCCAGCGAGACTTGCGAGAGGCCTCGGTCTATCAGCCGCTCGGAGGCAGGTGAAAAAAACGGAAGAAGGGGACCGATGTTTTGGGGTGGTGTGAAAGAGCCATTTTATGGCTCAGAAGTCATGAGTGTATCCGGCCGGATGCATTTTTCCTGGATAGAATCTCCACTTCTTCAAGGTTGGGCTGATACTGGTAGTCCAAAGACTCTACTTTGCTCCACTGAAGCAGGGCTTCTTTGTGTGGCTCTGAGGCCCTAAGGGTTTCTGTTCCAGCCTGGGACACTCTGATATCTCAAGCATCTCTTGCACATCATCTCCTTGGGGTGCTCTTTTTTTTCTAGCGGTCTGGCTGCGTGTGGCTGACGCAGGGCAGCAGGCAGCTGGCAGGATCGCCCAAGCCAAGAGATGGGCTTGGCTTCAGAGGTACTTCCATTTCATGAGTCTCACCAATTCCAAAAGCGAAGACCACATGATAAAGAGGTGCAGAGACTCAGACACCAAACCCATTCAAGACATTTCTTCATTTTGGGGTGGTTGCTAAGGACCTTTATGCTCCCAAAGCTTTACATGAAGATGCTCTACTGCTCCTTGGCAGTTCTCCACGGAGAAGGGGGGAGGTTGGTCGGACGTCGATGCAACCAGCAGCTGTCTGCGTCTTGCGGAGTCCCAGTCCCAGGCTTCCAGGTTGTTCCAGGACACGAGCACATTCAGTTCTTTTCCGCAACGGCTTGTTACGTTGCGTGGCGCTTCGTCACGCAACGGGCGTCGTCACGCAACGGCGCCCCTGCGTGGTGTATGGATCTCAAGTCCTTGTGGATGAGTATATCACGTGAGGGAATCTCGGGGTATACCGTGGTATTACCCAAGGCCAAGAGGGAATTCAATAGCCTTTGGATGTCTTTTCAGTGGAAAGCACCTGGAAGTTGAGGAGGACCGAAGAACGCCGAGGAGGATGGAGCCCCGCCTTTTGAACGTGGGGCGAACTAACTGTTCACGCGAACGAACTGTTCCCCTAAACCCGAACTTTATGATCTTCAAACATGAAAACAGTGCCTTTTTTGACATGTAGAAGTAAAAAGCCATGCGCCACCGAAAACCGTCCTCTGATCCGTTAGGTTTATCGATCCTCGTCCTTCCCTTGTGTATGCGTCGACATGTTTTGTTTCACCCATACGCATGGAGGCTCGGCCTTGGCGGTTTTTCAGGTGTGTCCTGCGCCATCCACGGCCGAGTGGTCCGCGTGCGCAACAAGGTCTTGCGCGCTTCGCCTGAAGGCAAGGTCTGGCTGCAGCTGGGTGGTGGAGGGGGTTGGGAGCTCATGCCATGGGTAGGCCGGGTAATCAGGGTTTGTTGCAGGTTTGTTGCTTTGCGGGGACCAAAGGTGAGCTGGGTTGGGGTTAGTAGTGATTGGAAGGGTCACATCATGCCGAAGTGAACCTAAAATGGAATCCAAAGAACCCAAGAAAACAACAGGGAGATGCAGATCGCAGATGGCATGTCATTTGTTGCATCCAGTCCATTGACTTCTTACTTCAGGACCTGTCTTTCACATGAGAACCTCTTCTTGGGTCAAAGTGTCCCTTGTTCGGACAAATATACCTTCCAAGCAGACAGTGGGGGGCGTTTTTCAATTGGTCCTGCTTTGGGGGTGTGGTAGGTTGATCAAAAGCTCGACATGTATGTCTCATGATGGTTGAGAGCCTCCACCATGTTCAACCCACCACCTGCTTCGAGTTAGGAGGCCTTTTTGAGGTGCACCCCGAAAACCGCGCCGCCGAAGCGTGCACGGAACCTGTTCCTTTTCTCTCATGTGGGTCGGGCTGGAGCCGATCCTTTGGCCCCTGCTGCATGTGGGTCCTGCTGATGGCCAGGACGCATCTACAAGCCACCGCAGGGCAAGGCAGGACCCGGCGTTTTTCTCTGGGGAGAGGAGAGATTGGAGGGGCCATCCACGTCACCATGTGGCTGGGTCAGACGGGCATCCCCCCAAAACACCGCCTCGAACATCGTTTGGGTCGATGCCCGTTCCGAACCCCCGACGGTCGACGACCTCGACGTCTGTCGAAAAAGGAACGGTCAAGAGCTGGGCGGCACACCTGGCGAGCTGGCCTCGAGCTGCCTAGAGCTGGCCTCGAATCGTGTGACCGCTTTACAGCAGCAACACGTCCAACATGTCCAACCAAGCTACCATATGCTTCTCACTGTTACCTGTTGCTGAATGAAATCGAAGCAACATCAGGGTTCGTGATTTTGGCATTTGTAGGCCTCTAGCGAACAAAAACAAGACCACTAACACTAACCTTGCTCGACGAACCATGGAGCAACAGGAAAGCGTGGGGCGCCAAACGTCCGACTCCAATGAGTCCGATGAACGAGAAGCAGAACAATATCGTGTAGCTGCTCTGGTGTCCCGCATGGAGGTCTTAAGGCCTGACGCTATGAGGGCCACCAAAGCGTACAGGGCATTCCAGCAATGCGCCTGTGCACTGCGCCCTGCGTTCCAGGGCAATCTTTATGGGAAGAGCATTGCGAGCGAGAAGATTGCCTGTTTCTGGTCCCATTCCTGGCATGGCACCACCTGGACCAAGATCCTCTCGCTACTGGTGCATTACAATGGGCTGGTATCAATCATTTTGGGCTTTTGGGCAGCTTTGTTGGCGGCGGTGCTTTTTGGCCTTGGCCTATTACCGGGCATCATTCGAGATCCAGTGGTCAAGATTCAAGGCACCCAACAACCAATGCAATGGTCGACATGGTCACTCGGATGTGGCTTCACCGTCTCATTGCTTACATGTTTTCTTTGGCGGCCGCAGAAACTTATTTTTTTGGATAGGATTTGCATCAACGAGCACGACGAGGTACAGAAGGCTGCAAGTATCTTCAGCTTGGCTGGCGTGTTGAAACGATCTGATGAAATGCTTGTGCTATGGGACCCCAGCTGGTGCAAGCGTTTGTGGTGTGTGTTCGAACTGGCTGCTTTTTTGAAAAGCAAAAAGGTGAACGAACAGGTGCTGCTCATCAAACCCACCATCCTCGGGCCCTGTTCCATGATCGTTTTCTGGGGCATTTCTTTCGCGATGCTGCCAGCAGTCACGGTGCCCTTCTTGGAGCACAGCGTCGTGTGGAACCAAGTCCCAATCGTGGCGGCCCTCATCTTCTCTCTCCTGGGCGGCTATGTGATGATGAGCATCTTCCGGAGTTATTTCCGAGGTGTTGAGGTTCTCCAGGAGGACTGGAGTTCTTGTGTTCCTTTAGCACACCATATGACATATAAGACTCCAAAGACTTCAAAGAAAGAGCTTGCTAAAGAAACTAGCTTTTTCACATGGACAATTGCTCTTTCATGTTCATGTCGTACACATTGCTTTCAGGGTGAGTTTCAGTGATGGGTAGCCTGGAGTGTCATTCACATTGATTGGAGGAGTTGCGCGAGATTAGTTTTGAGAAGACCAGATGTTTGTGTTGTGACCTTGGCCACACCGCAGATGACCCCATGCAATTATGTGATCGGGAGATTGTCAAGGAATGTGTGTCCATTTGGTTCGGCAGCCAAGAAGCCTTTGAAGACTCTGTTCGTTCACAGGTCTCAAACACATTGGCTCGACGCTTAACAGGTCAGGTGTTCAATCGAGGCTGGTGCCTTGCCGTGTCATTACCCCTTCTCTGGACCTTTCTTGACCAAGTCTCGACGTGGGCAGCTGGAGGCTATCCTGAGATGGCGATCGAAAATGGCATGGAAGGCTTTGTTCTTTGGTTTCTTTGTTGTCCCATCTTCGCAGACTTCAGCATCTGGTTGGCTTCCCGATACTGTCGCAGAGCAGCATCCAGAGGTCTAGAGGTTCTGAAGAACCTGGGCGTATTGTTTCTGGCCGTCTTTGGCTTCACTCTGATGGCTGCCACATTCACTGTTGGGCGTGTGCTGGTCAGCTCGCCCTCAATCTACCGTGCTGGCATTTTTGGAGGCTTTTGGTGCATCCTGGCCTTTTGCCATTTCTTGTACAAAGCTTGGCGCTTTCGTCTCACAAGCCACTCGGTCCAACTCCGAGCGTCCAAAGACCTTCGTGAAACATCACGGACGGATGAGGCCGAATGGATCGATGCTTCTCAGACCGATCGATGCATGTTGTTGGGCGCTCCTTTGTTTTTTTGGTAGACGCATCCCTGTCCCTTGTCAAGTGGAGCTGATCTATGGGTTCACTGCGATGCTTTTTTGAAGATACTTTGCTGTGTAACTCCCAATCGACAAGGTCAGAATCCTTCCCGAAAGGAATGAACCTCCTTTGATCTGAAACGTATCTCTCCTTGCTCAACGCTGACGGCAGGGCGGCGGAAAGGGAAATTAAACGACGATTTTAAACTTGAAGAATGGCTGGATTTAATCGGGGAATAGATTTATTTTTTGTATTATATATAATATATATTTATTTATATATATTTAAAATAAAATTATTAAAACCTTATATTAAACATATTTAATTTTGATTAATATTGAATTATTAATGATATATTTATATAATATATCGATTTATATTTATATCGATAATTTAAATTAAAGGTCGATCGCGAATATATTGGATAATATTTGGGACATATTATTAATATATATTTATTTTTGGAAATAAATTAGGTATAATTATAATAAAGGAAAAAAACATATTTTTTTAATATAGACTTATATGAATATTTAATTATAGATTAATATATATTTAATTAATATTTTTTTCTTTTTTTCGATGATTATAGTAATTAAAAAAAAATATATTTATTGAATTGATCGAACTTTGAATAATAATATTTTTGTGTATTTTTTGGTTTACTAATATATATTGTTTTGTTTTAAATTAATTCGATTTTATGGAATTTTAAGAAAAATGATTAATTATTTTATTATATAATATAGATGAAATATATTTTTTCGTAAATTTATATTGAATAGGAAAAAATAAAAATGGAAATTATTTTAAATGGACGTTAATACGAATTAATCGATTTATTTATTCGAAGGTATTTTTTTCTTAATTTCGATCTTTTCGAATTGCTGAAATTTAATTTGGATGGATAAATTTATAGATTGTATAGGAATTTTTTGCTAGTCCGAAATCTTTGAGCGAATTGGATTTGTTGAACGTAATGATATTATTAATAAAATAAATATAGATAATGAAAAAAAATTATTGCCGTTATAAAACGATTTAAGCCACCAACTTTGGGGGGGATCTTTAAAGGTTGGAAATTTAGGTGGAGGTATTAAATCTATGTTAAAATTATTTTGCAAACCAAGAGAAATTGGGGGGATCGTCTAAAAGAATACCTCGGAGGAATTGGGATTGGATGCCATTTATTGAAATATCGGATTCTTTATTTATTGCCATTTATTCTCGGCTAGGGTTCTCGCGAAATTATCTAGAAAATTGGATTCTATTGAAAAATCATCGATTTCTTACGCAGATGGCCTGCATCCTAGCAAATGAATGGCAAATAGGATTCCGAATGACCAACTATCCAGATCGGACCCATATATTTTGCCTTTTAACATCCTATGCAGAATTAAATTATGTGTTATTCCAAAGAAATAAGGTATGGATTGGGATGGTGCATTTATTAGATTGGCCCGATTAAATTGGATCTGAATAATGATATATTTGAAGGATTTAAATTTCATCGAAATTCGCATTAAATCTGCAAATCAAATAATTAATTAGCCTCAGGTAACCAAATAAATTCCGGAGGATTGAAAGACCCTTACACCAAGATCCTTATACCTGGATACTTAATCACTTCTATCCAATTTCAATCAGATGAAAAATTGCTCATTTCTTTAGACGATCCATGGCAACGAATTCAAACACTAGATATTTTGATCCCGTATTATTGAACATAGAATATTACATCTATTTGGGGACATTGGTAATGAATAATACACTAGCAATTGAAATTGTTCAGCAAAGCCACATCAATCTCTTAAGGTCTCTTGCGGGGAATATGAGGGCCGATGAAGTATTGCAATATAGATTACGTTGTCCTAGGGGCCCTTGCTATGAATTATTGATTATTGATGATCATATTGGCCTCCAACGAATCAAATGCGTCCATCCGCCTGAATTTCGTTGTCAGATTCGAGATCACGAAATTTCGCAGCTTCAGAACGGGCCTACAAATAAATTAAATTGCCATCTTGCGAAATATAATGGCAAGTTGGGTATGCCACTATCCTGGGTGCGGAAATTCATGATATGTCAGGTCGAATTTCGATTCCTAGAATTCGAATAATTATTTTATGCTTCATCATTAGCATCATTATAAAAAATATTATCATTTTTAAATTGTTTCAAGGATATATAGATTAATGGATTCATATTTGTTTATTTCGCAGGCTTATTTTTGTAATCTTTGACAAAATGCATCACGAAAATGATCATTTGGACAATAATATTCTATTTGAGATGTCTTCGCAGACTATGACTGAATTGGTTGTGATGGGCGTATTGGCATCTATGATACAATCAGATTTGAGAGTAGCCACGGCTCCTGTGTTATACATATTAGACGCCTTTTCTTTTGGCGGGGTAATTTGCAAAATTAACGTGCCTATAATATAGAAATGATTTCAGAATTGTTAAAACAATATTGCATCGAGAATTCATTATACAAAATTTTAATAAGGGGCTAATATGGCGCTCCAAGAATTAGGCTTTAACATAAAACCTCCTTTAGATCAAAGACGGACAATATTACGTTCATGAAATATAAATATTTTCATAAACCATAAATAATATATCGCACATTCAATTCAATCTCCATCCCTTAAAATCGCTAACAACAAAATATATATTTCATTAAACTTTTCCATAATTAATATATATTAAAACATATATAATAAATATTTTAAACATATATATTTCTATACTTTTCCATAATTATATATTAATATTTCCGTTATTTTAAAAAATATAAATTATTTAAAAATATACTGAAAACCATATATAATATTAATATTATACGAAAAATTGTATAAATAGCTTAATATATATATATCATGTCGCCATTGTTTTCCGCACTCACTGAGATTCCCTGGCCTTGGTTTCAAGGCAACCTAGTGGCCACTAAATGGTCTAGGAGCGAAGACGCCAACGTACAACCAATGCTGTGTTGTCCACAACTGAAGTGTAAAGAACTCAAACAGGCTGCCAATGCTCATTGAACAAAGTGTGTTGTCAAGCTCCCATTCCAACTTTTGCTTACTGCTCTGCAAGATCAATGAAAAACTGGGGAAATCGATCGTGCAAAACAATTGTAAGGTGCTGTTCCAGAAAAGAAATTGTATCTCGGGCACGTGTGGAAAGAGTGAAGAGAAACAATTGAGCTGCAACTTCCTGAATAAAATATTCAAGTGAACGCAATCGAGGCCAACGCCCTTGCCATTGAATGCGAGAGATTTCAGCACCTTGTAGGTACTCGTGGGTCGCACCTGAACCACGCAATGTTCCTAGTATGGCTCCACGATCACTTTGCCTCCTTGGTATCTCAAGTTTATCCAACAAAACATTCCACTGTCTGCGAAATCCAGCGGTTGAAGCCGGGAAAATGGTATCATCAAGCTGCAGCTGTTGGAATAAACAAAAGATAAAACGAGTCAAAGATGCGTCGTCAATTCTGACATGTTGGTGCCGAGCAAAACGGGCTGTTTTTGGGTTGCGTATGAAAATGTACAAGGAGGTGGAGTCTGTCATCAGAGCATCCTGCGGAAACACAAGGTCTCTCCGACGGAGTGCAAGGAATTCGTTGGGATGAAGCATCCCGCCAAAACCTAATGCCACAGCTCCTGCAAACTTGTCCCATTTCCATAACAATGCAAGACAAGGAATAGCCCGAAACACAGGCGCTTAAAACTGCTCGACACTGCCCAGGTTCTTCGATCTGCCATTTATGATCTACCTGCCAGGCTCCTGAGAACAATCTTCGAAATTCCGGCTTCACTTGTTGAACTGCCGTAATGGCGTATACCAGCAAATAACGGGGTTTACCCTCCCGGAACAACGATAGGCCGTAGCCCCGCAACGCAAGATTAGTCGTGTCTGCTTGCTTCAGGACCTCTCAAAGAGACATGCCAGCAACGGTGGAACACCATACACCAAATAGCTCAAGACAACGCCTCATGCGCAAAGAGGTCGCTTGTGCAAAATTGCCCATCATATCCAACTCCCCTCGGGGGGTGAAGTTCTTTTGCGCGCAGGGCATAGAGCCTGGATGTCTCTCAACGTCACCCGCAATCAAAAGCAGCAACCTAATCCATCGGCCTATCGGGCGAGTCCAGCGCGCCGACTCCAACATTAAGTCAAACGGTCTGAAGTCATCCTGCTTCAAAGCGGCAATCCAGAGAGGCTCGTCCTTGGTCGGCCCAGGCACTGGGCCGTCTCTGGAAGGACCGTCTGCTCTGTTCCAAGCTGAGCGGCAATGGAATGCACCAGGATAAAGTTCTCCAGGCCTGTTCCATGTCCGTGTCTCCAGCAGTGGAGCGTTCACCAGCTTTATTCCCCATGCCACGCTCTGAGTGAGCAGCGGCGCTCCCCAGTGCCATGCGACGACACAGAAGAAGAGGGTAAGATGCGGAGAAATTGCTCACCGCCTCTCCAAGCTGTGGCTCTCGGCCATAAACCTCCACAATGCTAGATGTGCACCGCTGTCGAAAGGTCTGCAAAACATCCTTAGTGAATGAACCTTGAACTGTAAAATGCCTATTTTTGTATGCACACGAATATGGTCCGGCCAACCCACAATACCAAGGTTTGTTGTGCAACCATTTGCTTGGCTTCTGAAAACCTGCTCCAAAGCTGCAAAAACTAAACTTGGTAATCCAACATCCTAGGCTGACCAGCACTTGAAAAACATGAAATTCAAATATGACCGAACTGCCAGGTTGTTCACAGGAAATCTAACATCCGCTAGCCAGAGCTAAGGTCAGCAGAAAAGCAGTCCGGATGGCTAGCAGGGTCTGTTCCCGTGTCACCGGGTCCCTCATGTCGAAACCTGCAGGCTGTTGTTTAGATCTGAATCGTGGTCTTCGCAAAGTGCCGAACGACCAACATGGCGGCCCAGCATGCCACTCTCGGATGGCCCCCTGATAAGCTAATTTGCTCAAAATCAAGAATATATTCTTGTCGGACAAATCATCATAGGCGTGGCCCGTGGCACTCCGTTCCATGCCAGGATGCACTCTCAAACCCGCCTCAGAGTGACTTTTTGACCAGTTGCCAAACCCTGAGAAAAGCTCGATGCAATCGTAGATGATCGTGTAATCCTTGGGTGTCTTGGTACAAGAAACAAAATTGTGTTTTGAATCGAGCAAATGATTATCAGCTTCAGGTCCACAAGGAGGCTCAGGTTCAAACCCCAGCTCTTGCAAGGCCAACCCGGCCCCCTGCTGAAATTTTGTATAATAGCCTCTCTGCTCTGT